CCGCCCGACCCGCCCGATAGGGTCCGCCCGTCCCGTTCCGGCCGTTAGGGTTCTCATGTGTCACGCTGTATCCGCATCCGACTTTAGTGTCCCGCCCGCCCGACCCGACCCGCCCGTTAGGGTCCGCCCGCCCGACCCGCCCGATAGGGTCCGCCCGTCCCGTCCCGCCCGTTAGGGTTCTCATGTGTCTCGCTGTATGCGCATCAGACTTTAGTGTCCCGCCCGCCCGACCCGACCCGCCCGTTAGGGTCCGCCCGCCCGACCCGCCCGATCGGGTCCGCCCGTCCCGCCCGTCCCGCCCCGCCCGTTAGGGTTCTCATGTGTCTTGCTGTATGCGCATCAGCCTTTAGTGTCCCGCCCGCCCGACCCGACCCGCCCGTTAGGGTCCGCCCGCCCGACCCGCCTGCTAGGGTCTGCCCCGTCCCGCCCCGCCCGTGAGAGTTCTTATATGTCATGCAGTATACGCATCCGACTTTAGTGTCCCACCCGCCCGACCCGACCCGCCCGTTAGGGCCCGCCCGCCCGACCCGCCCGATAGGGTCCGCCCGTCCCGCCCGTCCCGCCCCGCCCGTTAGGGTTCTCATGTGTCTTGCTGTATGCGCATCAGCCTTTAGTGTCCCGCCCGCCCGACCCGACCCGCCCGTTAGGGTCCGCCCGCCCCACCCGCCCGATAGGGTCCGCCCGTCCCGTTCCGGCCGTTAGGGTTCTCATGTGTCATGCTGTATACGCATCCGACTTTAGTGTCCCGCCCGCCCGACCCGACCCGCTGTACGTATGTTCCTGCCCGCCCAGCAGAAGCCTGGAATGCCGGTGTACGGCACCACTGCCCGTGGTGTTGCATCACTGCCCCTCCTCCCCCTTCCCCTCCTCCTCCTCCTCCTCCTCCTCATCATCATCCCCTTCCTCCTACTCCTCGTCCTCCTCTTCCGCCTCCTCCTCCTCCTCCTCCTCCTCCGCCTCCTCTCATTCTCGTGTGCTCGGATGGGTGTTGTTACAACCCACGGTGGCGCCCCCGCGCCTCGACTCGCGGGCGCCCCTCGTGAGCCGTGGGGGGCCCGTGCGCGGGGGGCGGGCGCTCCGAGCCTTCTCGCCACGCTCGGGGAGGCAGCTGCCGTCGGGGGGCAACGAAAGACAATTCCTGGGTATTCGTGGATTCTCCTGGATCGTCTCCAAAGTTTTTTTACTATTCCTGGATATCCCCCCTGTAGAGGGACAGGCCCGACTGAACTCTAGCGCCCTCGGGGCACTCCTGACCGCCCACGGTCGGGGGGAACGAAAGGGGGGGATAGCAAAGGATAGGATAGAGAATCAGCTCACGCAGCTGATTTTCCTGCCTCCTCTTCGTCCTCGTTCTGTGCCTCCTTCTCCTCTGCCTCCTCCTCCTGCGTCCCCCCTCTTGCTCCTCCTCCTTCTCTTCCTTCTCGTCCTCTTTGTCGTCGTCCCTCTCCTAATACACCTCCTCATCTTTAGTACTTCGCATCGGCCTCCAGCGTTCAGTCCCCCGCGTTCCTCCTCCTCTCCTCCTCCTCCTCCTCCTCCCCCCTCCCGTCATCGTCAGCACTTTCACCGCATGCCCGACCATATCTCCTCACACCCCTCACACGGGTCGTAGCCCCATATGAAGCTCCACCGAAGGCTCCAGTGGCTGCGTCCGCATGGCACCTCCGTCCGCCCGGCCCGAGCGCGCAGGCGAAAGTAAAACGCCACAGGCCAAAAACCCAGGTCACGATTCCTTCTTTGGGCCCCAGAACGCCACAGGCAAAAACCCAGGTCACGATTCCTTCTTTGGGCTTCAGGAGCGCCACTGACGCGGAGGAGAGCAGGGGAGCACTTCCTCTACACGCGCGCGCTCTCGGCAAGACCGGGAGGCCCGACGCGCAAGGCAAAAAAAAAGCGCCACAGGCAAAAACCCAGGTCGCGATTCCTTCTTTGGGCCCCAGGAGCGCCACAGGCAAAAACCCTGGTCGCGATTCCTTTTGTGAGCCAGGCCGAGGGAAGCGGAGGAGCACCCCCCCGCCCGGCGCGCGCGCCCCGGCCAGTGCCCCGGGGACCCGACGCGCAAGGCAAAAAAAAAAGCGCCACAGGCAAAAAAAAACGTTTTTACCTGTAAAGCTTTTTTTTTGCCTTGCGCGTTGCAGCCGATCCGATGTGGCCTGATGCTTGCATGGGGCTCCTGTGCATCCTGGCGCGGACGGTCCGACTCGTTGCCGACTCCGCTCAGATGCGGCCCCCTCCGACGCACTTTCCGGTGCGCTGTAACTTATCGATTCGATGCTGACAGGCCCTGCGCCTTCTCGGGTTCGGTCAAGGCTCCCAGACCCTCTTCCATGGATCCTGTTGCAACTTCGGGGAGGTGAAGTTCAGCATCGGCATTGACATATCCGTGGTCGAAGACAGGCCTAATCGGGCCAAATCCGGTTGAATCCAGCATAATTCGGCCTAACTCTTATTTCATCCTGCTCAATGATGGGCTTCAACTGGGCTGGTCTGGGCCAACGGCCTCAATTGGGTTTAGTATCCTTGAATCGTTCTTGCGAAGACCTCCCCACACGGGCCCCCCAGAAGTTCCGGGCCGGTTTTTCATCCCTAGCTGGCTTTTGACGGCCCCGAGGCCCGCCGAGGGCCCCTGGAGTGCGAAAACGGCGTACTTTCTCTCACCACGCGAGCATTTGGCCGAAGGATTGCAAAAAAACGAAGGATTGCAAAAAAACGAAGGATTGTAAAAAAACGAAGGATTGCAACAAAAACGAAGGATTGTTTTTTTTGCAATCCTTCGTCCGAGGGTTTTTTTGCAATCCTTGGATCGGGCTCAGAACGGCCCTCCCAGCAGTTGCTTCCCACCCCCTGGAGGCGGGCCAGCCTTCCGGCCGGCGTGGCCCTCTGCAGCCCGCTGTTCTCCCTGGCGGGCGTGCCAGACATGCTGCTGGAGCTCTACCCCTCCGGCGTCGGGGGCGAGGGCGCCGTGGCAGCCGACGGGGGTGCCTCCTGCGGCTTCTACGTCCGGTGTCCCGCTGGCACCGCCCTCATGCTGACGCTGTTCGTCGGCAAGGCTTCTCCCACATGCAGCAGACGGGTTCTTCCACGGGGCACGTGTCCTGGGGCTTCTTTTGCCATCTTGGCTCCCCGGGGCCCTCCACGGGCCCAGGGGCCGGCTGAAAGCGACGCAGGACGAAAGGCTGGTCTCTGAGGACGGTCCCAGGGTGCAGGGCCCGTTCCCTGCAGGACCCGTTTACTTCATGCCATCTATCCATCTTTCTCCCGCGTGCCGTCAACCTGCCATCGGGACACATCGGGAAGATACTGTCGGGACACGGTTCCCAGGTTGTGGCCATCCGAGGCCATCAGTTGGTCAGGGAAGGCCCTTTCGTGTTTTGCCTCTGTTGCGGGGGTTAGGCTTCCACCCGCCAGTCCCCAGTTCTGTTGGCCCCGTACAAAGGGCCCGTCACCTGGGAGACTAGCAGAGCGCGGGCGGCGGCCCTGAGGCACCTCAAGGCTGGCCGACACCCCCGTACAGGAGTCCCCCTAAAGGGCGGATTCAGCGGCGACTAGCGCCGTGCCTGCTCCTCCTCCTCCTCCTCCTCCTCCTCCGCCTCCTCCTCCTCCCCCCATAACCGACTCCTGCCAGGAAGGATTCGTGAAAGGCAGACAGATGTTAGACAGCCTGTCCGCTATTGATGCTGCCATGTTGAAGTGGTCCATCATGGACGTAAACCCTGAGTTCGGGAACGCGTTGTTTGACATCAGAGCTGCTTTCCCTAGTGTCCTGCATGACTTTATCTGGGCTGCCCTCAAACGTTGAAATCTTCCTCGGCATGTTCGGCGTGCTGTCCGCCCCCTGCACTCCAACATGCGCATGCGTATCAGTATCCATCGTTGTGAACCCATATTATTGTTATTACCGGGCGTGGTGTTAAACAAGGTTGCCCTATCTCTGGCCTAGTATTCTGTATATGCATCACCCACTTCCTGAAACGGATCCGAATGCGCTGCTCCGACCTCCCTTTTGCGCCTGGTGCCTTCGCCGATGACCTATATGTGGCGTGCAAGAACCTTGTTTTCACACTTCCCGGCATTCTCAACGTGATGGCCTGTGCAGGTCGATTTGCTGGCCTTGTTTCGAATAAGGCCAAGTACGTGTTGGCGATCCCTAATCCGGTCTTTCGGCAATCCGTGGTGCAGGAACTTGGTGATTTGGGCGTTGTGCGGTGGACCTCCCTCCCCCCTCTCGGCGGGTGTCTCTCCTCCTGCTCCTGCTCCTGCTCCTCCTCCTCCTGCTATTCCTCGTGGTCGTTATCGTACTTGTACTCGTACACGTAGTTGTAGTCGTCGTCGTCGTCGTCGTCGTCGTCGTCGTCGTCGTCGTCGTCGTCGTCGTCGTCGTCGTCGTCGCGGCGAAAATTAGTTTCCCTTCTTTTTTGGGGGCAGGATATTGTTTTTGGGGTATGTCTCCCAGGGAATCTATATCTTTGTGGGATGCCCCAGGCGCGAGAGGATTTGTGAGCATCTTTTTATAATAATTGCAAGAGCAATCAATGGTTGCGGATGTGGTCGTGAGTGTAGTAGTGGTTGTAATCGTGATTGTGGATGCGATGGTGATCGTGATTGTAATCGTAGTTGCCTTTGTCGTCGCGGTTGGTACTGTTCATTACCCTCGTTGCTGGGCGCGCTGGATGATAATGTGAGTTCTTTCTCCCAAGGAACAATCCAATGTGGACTACCCTACACGCGAGAGGATGTGGGAACATCTTTTAATGCATATTGCAATCTGCATTCGTTTGTGCGGATCTTGCTCAAGATCCTCACGTTTGGAGACATATATTGAGTGAGAAATGTGGGTCGTGTATGAATGTGCGCTTGCCGACGCGCCTTGGGCGCAGGGCTTCTGCCTGTCTGTCTGTCTGTGTGGTTGCAGTCGTGACTGCAGTCGTGCTTGCACCCGTGATTGCAATCGTGATTGTCGTCGTGGTTGTAGTCGCAATCGTAGTCGTGGTTCTAGTCGTATACGTAACGTAATCGTATTTGCATTCGTAGCCGTAGTCGTAGTCGTTGTCTTCGTCGTCATCGTTGTTGTGTGGCGGGCGCCGCGGAGAAATATTTATTTCCATCATTGGCAGAACCCCAGTCCACCAATAACGTCGCCGAGACAGGTAGATTTCCAACTGTCAGAGGGTTTCCGAAGAACCTCTTGTGTTCATCGGGTCACTGCGATGAGACGCCCCAGAACGCCACCTCAGCAACCTGTCGAGACGAGGAGTTTATTTCATGCAGGGGCGGGCGAAGGTCAATCGGTATTCGCGCACGTCTTCGCACGCATTTCGCTCCTGGTCGGACGGGTTTTGCAGCGGTTTCGTCACGGTCGCACCCTTCAATTATGCGTTCTGAGGACAATCCTTGGGTATCAAATTGTACGTTGCTCGCGTATTCTTCCTTTGCAGTATTTTCCTTCCCGCCCGCGGAGGCCACGCTGGGGCCCCTCAAAACCGAGTTCAAGCAGGGTGAAGCCCAGGGCCGGCCAGCATTCTGCAAGCTGGAGGAGTGCGGCTTCATCCAAAGTGGCTGAGCGTCTTCATTGCTGCTACTCTGCGTTCCATACAAGGTGCGCTCTGGGGGGCGTCAGCCCCGCCGACACGACCAGATCGACCCTTCGTCGCGGACGCACGTCGCGGGCCGAAAGCGCTGCTGCCGACGAGGCGAAGCTGGCCCCAGTCCTCGTCGGGGGGGGGGGTCCAGCCTGGAACGCATTCCTATCCTTTTGATTGGCACCGCCTGGGAGGGATCTCGATGCACTCACACCGAATCGCCAGAGTTCCAGTCGGAGTGGTGCCGCACTTCCTCCACGGGTGGGGCGGAGGGCTCAACATGGCAGTTCGTGTTCGGTCCGTTTTGCGGCGTTTTTTGGGTCCTCTTGTGCCGTCTTGAAGCCCCCCCCTTGTGCTGTCTTGGCGCCCTCTTGTGCTGTCTTGGAGTCCTCTTGGCGGCCCTTTGGGGCCGTCTTGGGGCCGTCTTGGGGTCGTGTTTGGCCGTCTTGGGACGTCGGAAGGCTGAAAAGGCGAGCACGCGAACATCTTTCAATAACTGTAGAAATCAATGATTTTGCCTCTCGGTGCCCTGTTGGACGTGCTCTTGGGGCTCTTTTGGGGCGTCTTTGGGGCCTCTTGGGCCGTGCAGAGGCCATCTTGAGCTGTCTTGTATCTGTCTGGGACCGCTCTGGGGCCCTTTTTGGCTGTTTGAGGCGGTTCTGGAGAAACACTCGAGGACTCGCGAGGTCAGATGCTGGTTGAAGAGCTTCCGAGAGCTCCCAGATGCTCTCAGGAGCTCCCGGCAAAGTTCCTGGAGTTCCCCGGAACTCTCGGAAGCTCCTGGCAGCAGTTGGAAAAACGCGGGTTTGGGCCTCAAGAACCTTTCAAGCCCTCCACCTCTCAGGGCTGCAGGGCTACATGACCCTTGGTGCACTCCTCTACGTGCTGAAGGCACGGTTGCGGAATTTTTATATGTGTGTATCGGAGGTAAGGGGGTGGCGCGCGGTGTCCCGCCGGTGTCTCGCTAGTGTCCCGTCGGTGTCCCGATGATGATGATGATGATGATGATGATGATGATGATGATGATGATGATGATGATGATGATGATGATGATGATGATGATGGTGATGATGGTGATGGTGGTGATGATGATGGTTCCCCGATGATGATGATGATGATGATGATGATGATGTTGATGATGATGATGATGTTGATGATGATGATGATGATGGTGATGATGGTGATGGTGGTGATGATGATGGTGCCCCGATGATGATGATGATGTTGATGATGCTGTTGATGATGATGATGATGATGATGATGGTGATGGTGGTGATGATGATGGTGCCCCGATGATGATGATGTTGATGATGATGATGATGTTGCTGATGATGATGATGATGGTGCCCCGATGATGATGATGTTGATGATCCTGATGATGACGATGATGATCATATGGATCGGTGATGATGATGAAGATGGTGTTGATGATGGTGTCCCGATGATGATGATGACGATGATGATGATGATGATGATGATGATGATGAGGTTGATGATGCTGTTGATGATGGTGATGATGATGATGGTGTCCCGATGTTGATGATGATGATGATGATCATGATGATCATGATGATGATGATGATGATGATGACGATGATGGTGTCCCGATGATGATGACGATGATGATGATGATGATGATGATGATGATGGTGATGATGATGATGATGATGATGATGATGAGATGGTAATGATGATTTTGATGATGGTGGCCAAATGATGGTGATGCTGATGCTGATGTTGATGATGATGGTGACCCGATGATGATGATGGTGGTGATGATGATGATGGTGACGATGATGATGGTGTTTCGATGATGATGATGTTTATAATGATGATGTTGCTAATGATGATGATGATGATGATGATGGTGATGATGATGATGATGCTGATGATGTTGATGATGACGATGGTGTCCCGATGATGATGATGCTGATGATGGTGATGTTGATGATGTTGTTCATGATCATGATGATGATGATGATGATGATGATGATGATGATTATGATGATGATGGCGGTGTTCCGTTGATGATGCTGGTGTCTCGATGATGATGAGCTTGATGATGATGATGATGATGATGATGATGGTGACGATGATGGTGTCCCGATGATGATGATGGTGATGATGATGATGATGATGATGATGATGATGATGATGATGGTGATGAGGTAATGATGCTGATGATGATGATGATGATGATGATGGTGTCCCGATGATGCTGCTGCTGCTGCTGCTGCTGATGATGATGATGATGATGATGATGATGGCGTTGATGACGATGATGATGATGATGATGATGATGATGATGATGATGATGATGATGATGATGATGATGATAATGATGCTGATGATGATGATGATGATGATGATGATGATTATGATGATGATGATGATGACGTTGATTGTGATATCGATTGTGATATCGATAGTGAGATCGATAGTTAGACCGAATGTGAGATCGATTGTGAGATCGGTAGTGAGATTGATCGTGAGATCGATTGTGAGATCGATAGTCAGATCGATTGTGAGATCGATGGAATGAAATAGATCGAGTGAGATCGATTGTGAGATTGATCGAGTGAGATCGATCGAGCGAGACCGACAGTGAGATCGATCGTGAGATCGATAGTGAGACCGATCGAGTGAGACGTTGGTTCCTCCCCCCCGAACCTCGTTATCACCCGAAGGGTGGTCGTATAGGTATACACACAAGACGTCTTCCTCGTCTTTTTGTCCGATCGTCACGACTTCGATGAACCTCCAGAGGGCTTCGAGGTCCCCTTCAAGTCGAAGCGAGGCGCCACGAGGCCCCCAGAGAGTGCAAAGCCTCCCAAGATGACCCCAAAATGGCTTCAAGAGGTCCCCAGACGCCCTCAGGAGCGCCTTGAAATGCCTTAATTCCATGGCTCCAGAGGAGGGCCCCAAGACGCCTCCGTACCCATCTTGGCTTAAGCCGTTTTGGCTCAGGGACACCAGGTGAGATTTCACAATATTTCCGCGTTGGCCAGTGATCAGAAGCGTGTCGAAACCATGGGTATGGCATTCACGAAACTCTTCGCCAAGCTGGTCGGGAAGCAGGAGATGCGCATCCTGATGGTCGGCCTCGACGCCGCTGGCAAGACCACTATCCTGTACAAGCTGAAGCTCGGCGAGGTTGTTACGACAATCCCGACGATCGGTTTTAACGTGGAGACGGTCGAGTACAAGAACATCAGCTTCACCGTGTGGGATGTCGGTGGCCAGGACAAGATCCGCCCCCTCTGGCGCCACTACTACCAGGGTACGCAGGGCCTCATCTTCGTAGTGGACAGCAACGACCGTGACCGCGCCGAGGACGCGCGCGAAGAGCTAATGAAGATGTTGAACGAGGACGAGATGCGCGATGCCGTGCTGCTGGTCTTCGCAAACAAGCAGGACCTCCCGAACGCGATGCCGGCCGCAGAAGTTACGGAAAAACTGGGTCTTCACAACATGCGCAATCGCCAATGGTTCATTCAATCGGCCTGCGCCACGACAGGCGACGGTCTCTATGAGGGTCTAGATTGGATGTCGCGGACGCTTTCTTCCAAGAAGTGAGGGGCGTTGGGACCTCTGCCAGCTGCGTCGCTTGCCGACGCTGGGCTCACCAATTATCTGTCTGGGATATCGCTGCCCTAGATTTTGCTTTCTTCTCCAAACATCGTCAAGGCCTTTGTAGCTCTGCCTGTGCGGCGGAAAGGGCCGAGACCACGCTTACTGTCCAATTGCATGCCGGCGCTCACTCAGTCACCCCCTCTTGCTCCTGCTCCCTCTTTCCCTCCCTCCGTCCTTCCCCCTTCCTGCTCGCAGGATTGTCAGAGCACCCTGACGTAATTTGATGGGCATGAGCCCCAACATGCACCTCCTGGTGTGGCGGCCACAGTGTGGTCAACAGCGCGGGAAAAAATATGGGCCTCCAGACGCCCCAGGAGCAACCATGAGAGATCATGAAGATGCCCTCAGGAGGCCAAGATGACGCAAGAGGCGTCATCATACTCACAGGGAGTTCTAAAAAGGCTCCAAGAGAGCCCCGAATACGTCCCCATGAAGGGTCCCAAGACGCCTCAGGTGGCTTTCAAGAGGCACTCGAGAGGCCCTCTCGATTGTTTTGTTGTTGAATTCTCATTTGATCCCCCTTCCTGGTAACCATAGTATTTTTTAAAATGCTTCTCCTGGGACTCGCACCCTGTTTTTACAAGGGGAAGCGAGGTGTCACCAAATTGCGCCCCTGGCCCTCAGTTCACAACAACAATGGTTCCCGCCTGATACTTCCTCACAATGTATTCCCAAATCGCTCTCTGGCGCGAGACTTCCCCACAATTTCTACAGGAATCGCGCTCTGGCGCGGGACTTCCGCACAATTTATTCAGACGCCGCGCCCTCGACACTCAGGTGTCACGCTCTCGCTGTGGATTTCCTCACGATTTATTTGGGAATCGCGGTATCGCTCGAGACTTCTACAATATTCACGCAGGCCGCACGCTTCAGCAACCCGCCTGCTCGAACTGGCCGCCTGGGCTCGCCTTCCCGACCTGCCTGTTAGGCTCTACCCGCCCGGTCTGCCCGTCTGGTTCTGCCACGTGTTTTCTGCTCCTGCCCCCCCTGCTACTCTCTCTCGTGCTTCATCCTCCTCCCCCTTGTCCCTTACTTTTATCCGTCCTCCCTTCGCCTGCCTCAGGGGCTGCACGAAATATGCGTAGCAGGTAAGAAAGATATCTACCCCTAAGGGGGTACGATCGAAGGCGAAGCGGGCGGGTATCGAGGGATTGGGATATACATGTTGAATGGCACGCGAGCAGATCATAGCGATCAGTCTTAAACTGATTGTTGTTGTCGTAGTTAATTCCCAACCCTCCTTGGTTGGGTATTCGTTTTGAATAAAGGGGTGTGGTCGCGTCCTTCTCCTCCCGCCTCCCGCCTCCCGCCTCCCTCTTGTCTCCTCTCGCCGTCCCTGAGGGGCTGCGATCTGTGAAACTGTCGCCACTTTCGAGGGCTGCTGGGGAGGCCAGCAGAGAGGGTACTCACCGCGGATCCAAACGGGACGTCGCCGTCCCTGGGGGGCTGCGATCTGTGAAACTGTCGCCACTTTCGAGGGCTGCTGGGGAGGCCAGCAGAGAGGGCACTCACCGCGGATCCAAACGGGACCTCGCCGTCCCTGGGGGGCTGCGATCTGTGAAACTGTCGCCACTTTCGAGGGCTGCTGGGGAGGCCAGCAGAGAGGGTACTCACCGCGGATCCAAACGGGACCTCGCCGTCCCTGGGGGGCTGCGATCTGTGAAACTGTCGCCACTTTCGAGGGCTGCTGGGGAGGCCAGCAGAGAGGGTACTCACCGCGGATCCAAACGGGACCTCGCCGTCCCTGGGGGGCTGCGATCTGTGAAACTGTCGCCACTTTCGAGGGCTGCTGGGGAGGCCAGCAGAGAGGGTACTCACCGCGGATCCAAACGGGACCTCGCCGTCCCTGGGGGGCTGCGATCTGTGAAACTGTCGCCACTTTCGAGGGCTGCTGGGGAGGCCAGCAGAGAGGGTACTCACCGCGGATCCAAACAGGACCTCGCCATCCTTGGGGGGCTGCGATCTGCGAAACTGTCGCCACTTTCTAGGGCTGCTGGTGGGTCCTGCGGAGTGAGGCACCGCGCGGACATGATCGGGACCTCGCCGTCCCTGGGGGGCTGCGATCTGCGAAATTGTCGCCACTTTCTAGGGCTGCTGGTGGGTCCTGCGGAGTGAGGCGCCGCGCGGACCTGAGCGGGACCTCGCCGTCCCTGGGGGGCTGCGATCTGCGAAGTTGTCGCCACTTTCGAGGGCTGCTGGTGGGTCTTGCGGAGTGAGGCACCGCGCGGACCTGAGCGGGGCCTCGCCGTCCTTGGGCGGCTGCGATCTGCGAAGCTGTCGCCACTTCGAGGGCTGCTGGTGGGTCCTGCGGAGTGAGGCACCGCGCGGACTTGAGCGGGACCTCGCCGTCCCTGGGGGCTGCGATCTGCGAAACCGTCGCCACTTTCGAGGGCTGCTGGGAGGCCTGCGGAGTGAGGCACCGCGGACCTGAGCGGGACCTCGCCGTCCCTGGGGGGCTGCATCTGCGAAATTGTCGCCACTTTCGAGGGCTGCTGGTGGGTCCTGCGGGGTGAGGCACTGCGTGGGCCTGAGCGGGACCTCGCCGTCCCTGGGGGGCTGCGATCTGCGAAACTGTCGCCACTTTCGAGGGCTGCTGGTGGGTCCTGCGGAATGAGGCACCGCGCGGACCTGAGCGGGACCTCGCCGTCCCTGGGGGGCTGCGATCTGCGAAATTGTCGCCACTTTCTAGGGCTGCTGGTGGGTCCTGCGGAGTGAGGCGCCGCGCGGACCTGAGCGGGACCTCGCCGTCCCTGGGGGGCTGCGATCTGCGAAACTGTCGCCACTTTCGAGGGCTGCTGGTGGGTCCTGCGGAGTGAGGCACCGCGCGGACCTGAGCGGGACCTCGCCGTCCCTGGAGGGCTGCGATCTGCGAAGTTGTCGCCACTTTCGAGGGCGGCTGGTGGGTCCTGTGGAGTGGGGCACCGCGCGGATCTGAGCGGGACCTCGCCGTCCCTGGGCGGCTGCGATCTGCGAAGCTGTCGCCACTTTCGAGGGCTGCTGGTGGGTCCTGCGGGGTGAGGCACTGCGTGGGCCTGAGCGGGACCTCGCCGTCCCTGGGGGGCTGCGATCTGCGAAACTGTCGCCACTTTCGAGGGAGGCGCCGCGCGGATGTGAGTGGGACCTCGCCGTCCCTGGGGGGGCTGCGATCTGCGAAACTGTCGCCACTTTCGAGGGCTGCTGGTGGGTCCTGCAGAGTGAGGCACCGCGCGGACCTGAGCGGGACCTCGCCGTCCCTGGGGGGTTGCGATCTGCGAAGCTGTCGCCACTTTCGAGGGCTGCTGGTGGGTC